AAAGAGTGGCCTAAAGAAGGGGAAGAAAATTCCAACCAACACGTCCTGAGCTGTGAGCCTCTGGAGTGATGGGGCTTCTTTCAACACCCAGATGAAACCAAGTGTTTCCCTTCCTGCCTCTTGTCAGTGTGAAGCCAAACAAGACCACAAGCCCCAGCTGACTGCTGCACACTGAGATGGTGCTCGTCATGGTCTCTGGTTTGATGAGCATCAGTCACCTGGCAATGACCACCACACACAAGGCCTCTCCACACCACCTCCAACAGCTCCTGCCTCGCCCTTCACCACCACCCTTACAGGTTCATGTTCCCTCTGAAGAGCAGAGGTGGCTTTGCCACCCAAGAGCAGAAAAGCACGAGGGTTTTCAAGAGGCAACAAGGCTGATTAAAGGGATCTGTTTGGATAAGAGTCTTGGTATTACAAATCAAGCACAAAAAAGGGAAATAATCTCCAGTGAAAGCCCTTGTGTCCATTAATGCAGTTGCTGAGTCCTCCAGTGTCCGAAAGGAGGTTGATGAGGGACCTTCAAGCACCCCCAGCATGTGGAGATGCTTGATGCTCCAACAGTGGGAGATGCTCACCCCAGTGCCATGGAAAGCTTGTGGTGATACATGGGGCCAGCAGGACAACTCAGCAGCACAGCTGAGTCCTGTGTCCCTGCTCCCAGCACCACAGGCCAGTGCCCTGTGCCTCCTGCGAGGTGGTGTCATGAAAACATCACCCATCTTCATGTGCTTTACTGTCCCTCCCTCCCCCACCCACTCCAAGCTGATTCACAAAGATTTTTTTAATTCCTATGAAGCTCAGCAAGACAAAATAATTGTATTTGGGAACAAATGTGACAGCTGGAAAGAAAAGAAGCAGAAATGGGCACCAGCTGATGCTGTAGCCCTGCTGCCCAGTGCAGGCACTGGTCCCACCACTGCAGGGGGACTGGTCCTGGAGGAGGAGACCCTCCTTCTGAGCCAGGATGGGATGTGTTCCTAAATGGGGCTGAAGAGCAGTGTGGAGGCAGTTGAGCTGCTGCTGTCCCCATCCATCCCTACGTCTCAGCTATGTGATTAAGGCCACTGCTTTCAGACAGGACACAGGTTCCTCTGAGGTGAGGGGCATGTGACCAAAGTCCATGCAGGACATTGCCAGCACTCCCAGGTACCTCTGCCCACCTCTCCTGGCCCTCCCTGCACCCAGCCACAGCCAAAACCCACCCACCACAGGAGGGTTTCAGTCTCTGCTGGAGGACCAGGGAGCACAGGCCAGCTCCATGAGACCACCATGGTGAAGCACCTAGAATCTGCTGCTCAGGGCTGATGGGCAGTGCCCACCATGGCAATCAAGAGAGAAGCTAAAAATAGCAGAGAAAAAGCTAAAAAAACCCCAAATCCAATGGACAAACTGCTGGATCCAAACTGCTGGAACTGAGGAGCTGCTGACAGAAATTCCTGAAAAGTAGGGTCAGGTCAGAGAGATGACACCCACCATGGAAAGCTCATGAGTCTCATCCAGGCTGCTGAACAAAGGGAACTGCAGGTCAGGGTGAGGTAAGGTGTCCACCTCCCCATGGAGACCAGCTGCAGGACACTTCAGGTGATGCCCACAGACTTAGCAGCTCAGAATCACAGAATCATCCTAGTTGGAAAAGACCTTGAAGATCACCAAGTCCAACCATAACCTAATTCTACCAACCATAACCATATCTACCCCTTCAGTGCTTAAATCATGTCCCTCAGCACCACATCTGTATTTCTTTTAAACACTTCCAGGGATGGTGACTCCACCACCTCCCTGGGCAGCCTGTTCCACTATCCAACCATCTCTGTGGCTTCTTCTCCGACAGCTCCATGTCCTTCTTGTGTTGGGGACCCCAGAACTGGACCCAGCCCTGCAGGGGGTCTCACCAGAGGGGCTGAATCCCCACTGGCCCTGCTGCTTTTGTTGCTGCCCAGGACACAGTTGGTTTCTGGTCTGCCAGCACACATTGCCAGCTCATGTCCAATTTGTCACCCACCAGTACCCCCATGTCCTTCTCCATAGGGCTGTTCTCCATCCCTGTGCCCCCCAGTTTGTGCAAATACTGGGGCTTGCCCTGACCCAGGCACAGGACCTTGCACTTGGCCTTGTTGAGTATCATGATGTTCCCATGGGCCCACTCCTTCTGCCACGATCCCTCTGGAGGGCATCCTGCTCCTCCAGCAAACCAACCACACCTCTCAGCCTGGTGTCACCTGCAAACGTGCAGCACATCCCGGCCCCAGGAAGAGCCATTCTTCAAGCAAAGCCACAGGCCAGCTCCCTGTGCAATGCAGGAGCCAGGAACCAGCTCGACACACCTAGAAACGTGCCCTGTTGCAGGCAGGACCTCATTACATTGAGCTGTGATGTGGCAGCAGCATTTCAGGCACCCAAATCTGAAGCATCTCCTGGTTACAGCAAACTAAGAAGGGGCTGGGGCCACTCTGAAGGTGGCAAGGTGCTGTCACGCCTGCCATGGGCCTTGCCAGCAGTGGGTGTCTTGAGATCTGCAGTTATAGCAAACCCCCAACACTGAGCAGAAAGCACTGATGGGGAATGGACGGGTTGGAAAACACAGAATAACTAACACACTGGGACCACACACCCAGCCTGGGGAGACCAGAGGAGCTTCCATCAGGGAAGAACAAGGACCAGCCTTGCAGTGGAGCACAGAGGGAGGAAACATCAGCTCAGGCAAACCATGGGAGGAGGAAACCCACCCAGACTTACCTCCACCCACTTCCCGTTGACTTCCATGAAGAGGACGCAGAAGGGGTCGGATTTGGAAGTGACATCCCTGTCCAGAAGGTTCTGGCCACAGACAGACAACTCGACCCTGCAGACACAGCACTGGGCACCGCCGGGCCCCGCCGGCGCGGGGGGCACCGTGTGCGCCATGAGCCCCGGGACAGCAGCTCCAGGCAGCCTGGGGGACAGAAGGGAGAGAAACCTCAGTGCAAGCAGAAAGGCAGAGAACACTGGTGGTGCCAGGGAGTCGGGCACAGACAGAGGGGCCACATCCAGAAGCTCTGATGCTGGCTCCAAAGCCAGTCTCCCTGCCCAGTCGTTGTCCCCACGTGGCCACCACTCCAGGCAGACATCATGAGTGGGAGCCCAGCACAGCACCTACAACCTGCCTTGGGTTTGCTTTCAAGGAAAGGTAACATCTTCTGCTTGCACCCCACAAGGGAGTTGGGGGGTCCCCAGCCTCTTCTTCCAGCAGGCTGAAGGTTTTCATGGGGAGGAACTATACTTGTACACCATCCTTCAGCATGAAAGACATGGACTTGTTGGTGTGAGTCCAGAGGAGGCTGCAAAAATGACCAGAGGGCTGAAGCAGCTCTCCTGTGAGCACAGGCTGGGGGAGCTGGGCTTGTCCAGCCTGGAGAAGGCTCCAGGGAGACCTCACTGGAGGTTTCAATACTTGAGGGGGGACAATAAGAGAGATGGGGACAGATTTTTTAGCAGGGCCTGCAGTGACGTGACCGGGGGGTCAGTTTGAAACTGAAAGAGGGGAGATTCAGACTAGATGTTAGGAAGAAATTCTTCATTATGAGGCTGGTAAGACACTGGCCCAGGTTGCCCAGAGAGATGGTAGAAGCCTCATCCCTGGAAACATTCCAGGTCAGGTTGGACAGGGCTCTGAGTGACCTGCTCTGGTTGAAGATGTCCCTGATCACTGCAGGGGGTTGGACTGGATGGGCCTGCAGAGGTCCCTTCCAACCCAAACCAATTTGTGATTCTATGAAAATTGGTCATGGTCTGGCTGGTCCCAAGCCATGGACTATGGATCTAAGCTACAAAGGCTGAACTTGAGCTCTGCCCCACAGACTGCCATAGGGAAAGGGATGAGACCAACACCAGTTGGTTCACTGACGAAGAAGCCAATCATGACAACCTCTGTGTCACCTGGTGCATGGGATGATCGACAGGGCCTTGATAAAACCCCTTGGTCATAAGAAGAGGTCACCAAACGTCCACTCCCAAAGTCATTTTGCAGCCCTAAAAGTGGTTTACACCAATACTAGTGCAGATCCCCAGCCCATACTACAGCTTTGCCTTCTGATGTGCAAGCTACTTGGCAAAAACCAACAAAGGTCTTCAGCAGAGAGGAGGAAAGAGGGGGAGAAAGAGAAGAAAAAGCACTTTCAGACTCATTTATACTAATAAACCTTGGTGGCTGGGGTTGCTAGCAGAGAGAGCTCTTTTCAGCAGCTGCTTTCAATACCTTTCTTCCTCTTTTTCAAGAGTGGCTCCTGGCTCATCCACTTTATCTGAGAACCCCAAACATCCACCTCCTCCACCCTGATAAGCCACCTGCTGCTGTTTGGTGTTGAACCCCAATTCACAGCTCCCGGCACAAGCTGGGGTAGGAGATGGGCTGCTGCCCTCCTCCACTGCAGCTCCTCCAACTGGGATGGGGGACAGGGATGGGAGACCCCAGCATGGCTCGAGACAGAGCCTGGCCCCAGCTGAGAGGAACACAGCTCCCACTTTCAAGCCTCCAAGCCCTCCTCTCCTGCCTGTTAAGATCTCTGCTTGGTGCTAAGGCACCCAAAACAAGCTGGATTTAAACCCCCAACAGTCACTGCAGTCTTTGTTGTTCAAAGCCTTTGGCACAGTCCTGCACAACATCCTTGTTTCTTAATTGGAGACATGGACTTGACAGACGAACCAGCTGGTGGGGTTTTTTACAAGGGCTTGTAGTGATAGGATGAGGGGGAGCAGTATGACCCACGTTGCCCAGGGAAGCTGTGGCTGCCCCATCCCTGGCAGTGTTGAAGGGCAGGCTGGATGGGGCTTGGAGCAACCTGGGCTGGTGGGAGGTATCCCTGCCCATGCAGGGGGGATTGGGACTAGATGATCTTTAAGGTCCCTTCCAATCCAAACCAGCCTGTGATTCTATGAATCATCACAGCCTACTGCTCAGGGCAAGAGAGGTGCAATCACTTCAGCTTCACAGGAACCCAGAAAGATTTCCAGAAGAAGAAAATCTCCATCCTGGGTTGCTCACACATGTGCACAACACTGAAAGAGCACCCATGTCCCTTCCACAAGCAGCTTCCCCTCACCTGGACCAAGCCTGTCTCATGGTGTCACTCCCCATCCACAGCAGCAAGACACCAAAACTGGCAGTGGAACACCCCAATGGTGGCAGTGGGACATCCCCATGGTGACAGTGGGACACCCAAACAGTGGCATGCAAGGACAACCATTCATCTACCACAACCTGGAGGAGAAACAGATGCAGAAGGAAAAGTCCTCCTGGCTCGTTCACCATGAAGCCATTGTGGCTGCTGGGGTGATGGCTCCAAATGCCCATCCCTGCTGGAGCTGCCTCTGCTCCTCTCGAGCCCACGTTGCCAGTTGCAGCTACAAGGAATATTTTATTTCTTTCCTTTCTTTAATGCACAGATCATGTAATTGATGTCTTAAAATAGCCAGGCTGTTCTATTTATGCTGCTGCCTGTCTGCTGCTCCCTCCGAAAAGCAAACACGGGGCAGCTGTGCTGGCACAGCCCTGGTCCTGCTGGAGATCTGGGCTGGGTTTTTCCATCTCCCCTTCCCCTCAGATCTCGGCGCTGTCTCACAAAAAGCAGTGGCAGCAAATGACTCCGTGGAAAGAGCTTTTTCCCAGGGCTGGCAGGCACCAAAACATCCTCTCGACGCGCTGCACGTCGCTGTGCCCCAGCCCCACGCTCGGCCTGCGCGCTCCCCCAGGAGGGCACGGCCAAAACGGGCACAGGGAAGAGCCCTGAAAATGCTAATGGTGCTGTCAAACTTCAGTGATCTCTCTTAAAGGAAACAAGATTTATTTTCACAGGGAATACCAGGCATATTTGAAACAGCCCCAGAAGTACCGATACCCACCAGTGATCCCATGCAAAGTCCCTCTGGGTCCCTCCCGGGAACGTCCCTCTCTTTCTCTGGTGTCTGTAATAGCCCACAGAAGTCACCTGTCACTCAAGTTTGCCCACTCTGGTTGCCCCACTACAACCTACTGCAACTGTAGGAGCAAATTTCCATTCTGGAAGGGAAAAAAGGGATGAGACTCGAAGAGGTACATTTGGGTTCCTAGAAGCACATATGGGAGCTCACAGACAGAGGAGATGCAGCAGTATCGAAGGGAGGATGAAGAGCAGGTGAAAATGGGTTGTCAGAAGCTTGAAGCAAAGGACAGGAGCAGGAGGACACAGCAAAGGGACACCCCAAGCAGCAGAAAAGCTGCAAGGCAGCACACACGGAGCTGGAGACACCAGGAGAAGCCACTCTGACAACTGCCCAAGACAGCTCCCCATGGCGTCAAATCCCACACCAGCCCCTTTCCTCCCCTGTCACCAAACACACTCATCTCCAGAATCATTTTGCCAAACAAAGCTGTTTTCCCCTCTGTCTCCCCTAGGAAACCCGGTGGATTCACCAGCCTGCACCTGGTCTTCACACACAGCCTCCTTCCCTGCTGTGTTCCCTTGCATGTCCCATCACCATAGCCCCACGTGCCTGGCCACCCCAGGAGGCAGAAAGGGGGACACTGGTGGCACCTGGGAACTCCCTGCAGGATGTACCCTGGGTACCCGTGGCCATCAGCCTCAGGGCTCCTGCCAGGCTGGGAAAGGCCACACAGTCCTCCCAGCATCCCAACACAGGCAACAGGGCTGAGGTTGAGCTCCAGTTCTTCCAGCTCCCAGCGATTTGGGATGGATGCAGAGAGGGATGCCCAGGCCAGGCTCTGGTTTCCAGGCTGGCACTCCAGCCCACAGCCCTGCCTGTTGGCAGGAGCCAACGGGGCTGTGCTGATACTGTGGGGCCTGCTACAGCAGGAAAAAGGGCTCCAGGACAACTGAATTAAGAAATTTACCCAACAAACAAACCCTTCCTGATGGAAACTGAGCCTGATGCTGCTCCACCAGGTCAGGCTGCTCCTGCCCACAGCTTGGCTTCTTGTGAAACCCTCTCCCAGGTGAGGTGTGACATGGCTGGGGCCACCTCGCTGTGGCAGCGGCTGCTTCTTCCCTTCTTGTCCAGGTGTGGGGAACAGTCCATCTTCTTCCCCCCACAGAAGACTAAACAAAGAATGCCTTTCAAGTCAGCAAAGCGAGAGTGACGCCTTTTCACTGATTCACTCAAGGACAGAATGAGCCTCTTGCCCTACCAGATAAGTGCAGAGCAATGAAGGAGCACAAGGGTTGTGATAGCTGGCAGAAATATAAACAACAGATTAAAAACTGCTCCTAACAGAATATGTACCTGGCCCATGGTGATTGGCTAATTCAGACAGTACTTTCTCGAAC